GCTTGGCCATTTAAGGCTTTATATGTGAGAAGGAGGATTTTAAATTCTATTCTGGATTTAACAGGAAGCCAATGAAGAGAAGCCAGGATAGTTTTATGTTTTTATTAAATACAGGCAGCTATAAAGATAACCAGATTATTATGCACTTGAAGCAATAAACTCAATTTATTTTAAATGAATACACTCTTCATTGAGATAAACCTCTTGGTTCTTTTCTCCGGGTTGGTTTTTAAACCTGCAGCTTTAGCTTTTGGACGCCAGGTGTCGCCATTTACCAAACTTCACTCGCAGCACGCGCACTAGGTAAACTCCACGTGAACGCTCCGCTGCGCGTGCCCGAGTCCCTCCTCTCCTACCCTGAAGTTGAGGAGAAGTTTGAGGATCCAGATTGAGACTCGGTGAGGAGTCAGCGGAGAGACAGCAGGGCGGACTGAAGCAGGCAGCCAACATGGACGACCTGGGTAAGCAGCGCGGGGGGGGATTTAGCGGCTAAAACAACAGTTCTGATGGACCGCTAATCACTGGAGACGTTTCTAACATCAGAATAAAATGTTTCAGCGGTTTGTGAAAAAGATAAATGATTTTTTTTCCTCCGTCGCTGATTCGCTTCTTTTAGTTCTTTGGAAACATCGTAGGAAGTTAGCGGCTGGACCTCGCTAGCCTTTCACCCCCCCTCCCATGTTCTGGTTCTGGTTCTGGTCCGTCTCAGGGTCCAGTCCCTTCTGCAGCGGTGTGTCTCAGCAGGGGAGGTTCTGTTCTGTTCGGTTCGGTTGTTCCCAAGCTTTAAAGTCAAAGTTCTGCCTCCTGGCCCCAGGCCACTCATTCCAACTTTGAAGTATTGGAGCCTCCAGGCCTCCGTATTTAGCCCTGTGTGTTTAAAGCAGCTGTTCTCAGGCTGATTTCCTGCTAAAACAGCAGAAGGTCCGACTGCCCCAGGAACAGGGGCGGTGCTAGACCAAATGTACCAGGGGGTACACCAGCATGTTTTCAGGGGGGCACAGAAAAGCATGAAATAAAAAACAGGTCAAGAGATTCAAATATATTAAAGGAATAGTACACCCAAAACATGATTAGCCTTCATTTTCTACTCACCCCCATGCTGAACAACACTCTGGAGTACTTTTTTGATATCT